TTCTCTAGTTGTGCCTTTGAAGATTAAATTGAAATTTGGAGAAGATAAAAGAGCTGTTCATATACTTCTCTTCACACCTCCTTACTGATCAAATAATTTTCATTCTAAGTACATGTCTTGGTTCTTTTGCAATGTCAGGGTATACATAAATGAAAAACTATGTATGAATCCTAATTTAATGATATTCAATCTTCTAAATTGTAATGGTTGTGGGAAAGCAATTCAAAAGTATAAACTGTTAAAGTTATGTCTTCTGCTTACTCATTTTTGAAGCAAGTATAATATGAATCCTGATATTACGGCATGCTCTCTTTTATAGCAGATATTATATTCCAAAACAAGGATGTGCACATACTAGATATTTGAATAGAGTGTGGTGGTCATATGGGAAGAGCATATGATTGTATATATTAGTGTTGTTACTTGTAATTATTACCATTAACTTGGTTTTTATATAAATAGAACGTTCCTTCATATGAAGTGATTATAATAACTTCACTATGATCAGGTGTTGCAGCAGCAAACTATTTAGACAATGACATTAGGATGGAGGGATGACATTGAGTACAACTCCAGTGTTGACACTTCCTGTCCCTGATGGTACCACTGTCCAGGCAGTTGGGCACTTGGGCACTTGGGCAAGATCCATTTGCTGCTTCTTTGAACGTTTCTCCCCCTTCTCATGTGAAAATGGCAAATCTGGAGAAGAAACAACAGTTTGTGGTGCATGAACAAATGGTGTGGCAGCAGTATGCTAGAGAGGGCATGCAAGGGCAATCGAGTCTGGGAAGGATCACCAGCCCAGGTGAATACCCTGACCAGAAATGGATTATGGAATGCCTTCAGTAAATGGCTTGGGAGTACCACCTGCTGGGTATTACCCCACCCCCTACTCATTTTATGAGTTTCTTGAACTTTAGTATACATTTAATTATAGCTTTGACAATAAATGCTGACAAATAACTTGCACTATATTTATTTATCGAACACTTGTGTATTGTAATTATATTGATTATGTTAATTGTGGTGTGCTGCATTTTGTTTCAACATGTTATATTTTGTTGCATTATGTTGTTTTTATTGCATCATATTGCTTTATTATTGTTTTGTTTCTTTTTGTGGCATTGTGCCACTTTTTTTGGTGTGGTGTTTTTTTTTTGTTGTTTAAAGTTGATTCCACCTTATTTATTTAAATAGCTTTCGACACCTAGAACCATAAATTTGATTTACGAATTTCAATAACAATAAGAAACAAGTATAAACAATCAAAAACAATTTTTTTAAAGTAATCAACAACAAGAAACACAAAGAAACAATATGCAACAAAAAGTCACAATGAAATTACAATAACAATATTTGAACTTTGTAGCTACTTTTTAAAAACTTGAAAAATCCAAATGTTCAGTTTTTTTTGTTTTTTTCAATCAAAAAAAAAATTAAACTAATCAACAACAATAAACACAAAGAAACAATATGAAACAAAAAGTAAAAATGAAATTATAATAACAATAATTTAACTCTGTAGCTACTTTAAAAAAATTGAAAGATCCCAATATTCATTTTTTTTAATTTTTGGTTTATTTTTAAAATTTTAATTATTTAAATTTCACTTTTACTCCATATATTTTAAACAGTTTTTAGATTAATTTTTTATGATTTTTTTAAGGTTTAAGATTTGTATTTTCCATTTTTATTTTATTTATAAAATATACGGAGTAATTGAACTCTTTGAATTTTTCAAGTTTTGTATATGTACTTAAAATTTTAGGATCTTTTTTACATTGTATAATTAAAGGAAGTTATTTTTATTATCTATAATTTATGAATTACGGAGTAAATTTTAATATTCTTTTGTAAAATTTACTTTGAATATTTTTTAATGTAATATAATCTCATAGATTTACTTGAGATCTTTTTAGAACGTTTTCAAATCACACAATTCATATTCTTTAATATTTTTTCAGGTTTTACAAATGTTTAGTATTTCATTTACCTTAATTTTCACATTTTTTATTTAGAAAATATACATTCTTTTCAATATTAGTTTAAACTGTTTACATTTTTTGTATATTTCTGAAAATTTATAATATTTTTCCTTTCTTTTTATTTTTATAATTTTCTTCATTATATACTAAGTATTATTTATTATGTATTTATTTTTGTTTTCTAGAATTCTTTAGATATATTTAAAACTTTTTGCTCTTTTATAAAGTTCTAATTATTCTTATCTGCTTTATATGTTTGAAACTATTTAAAATACAATTTATAATTTTTAGTTTTATGTTTTTTAGTTTGTATGTTTTAATAAAGTTTAATCTTTTATGATCAGTTTCAATAATTTCTCATATTTGTAGTAGTTTCAAAGCATTTTTTTATCTTATTTTATATATTTGTTTATAAATTTTAGTTTTTATTATATTTTTAGCGTATAAGATTTCATGTACATTTTTTCGTCTTTTATTTTTATTTTAGTTCACATATTTTAGAATTTTAATAAACATTTACATAGTCAGCTTTCATAATTTTTACATTTATGTAATTTTGAATACCTTTTACTATTTTTTTTAGTCTTCCAATTCCCAGAATTTATAAACGTGCTTTGGATATTTATGCTTTAACATTTTTATATTATATCTGCATTAGTATAGATGTGTTGTCTGACTTTTTTGTTTTTTATTTAATTTGAAAGTCCTTGCCACGTGGAAAGTTGCATATGACTGAATTCCTATGATTCTTCCGACAGCCGCTTCCCCATATTAACACGGATTACTGTTTAAGGTCTATTAATGAAAAGAAACGCATATGCAGTCTATTTTTGAAAAAGAAAATGAAACATGACAGAAGTGATATAAGTTTCACGTTTTGGTCTATTTGTGATAAATACCCTAAATGTTTCAACCGGCATAACATCATTGTACGGTACGGTGGATAGTGCACACTGCATAGAGATTATGTACTGATTTAGTTCATTTAAGAGTTAAGGACCTAAATGCAACAATACCAAATACATGTACTACAAAAAAAACGGAAATGACAGAGATTTTTGGCAGAGATTCTCCAAAATTGACAAGGATGTGCCAAATCCGTGCCAAAAACAATTTGGTATGAGCTATTTGGCACGGAATCATTGCCAAATCCGTATCAATCCGGTAATTTTTTTAGTGATAGCTAATGTATCATTTATCATTCTATCGGATATAATATGTTAGATACTAATTGTGGGGAAATCAAATTGTAGACCATATATTATGCATACGGTGGAAAGAAGTTTTGGGTGCACAACACTGGGCCATTTGGGTGTTTGCCTAAGAAACTTGCTACCATAAAAGTGAATAATGCAAGTACCGATTTGGACGATTATGGCTGCCTCAAGTCTCTTAATGAAGCGGCACAAATATTCAACACGCAGCTGAAAACTATATGTGAACAACTCAGAGTTGAGCTTAAGAATGCTACCATTGTATATGTGGATATCTACAGCATTAAGTACAGCCTTATTTCCAACTCCACCCTCTACGGTAATTAAACAAAACTCGTCTTTTTATTTTTAATTATGAAAATTTGTAATGAGACGAATTCAATAATACTTTTCGAAGATAATAATTTTCATAGATTATATTAATAAATAAAATGTAATCAAAGAGAGAATGTGAAGTGTATAATTTAATTTATAAATCATTGGGGTGGATCTAGAGGGGGGGCCACCTAGATTCTGGTCTGCCCCAAAATTAAAAATCATTGGCCTAGCCCGGCCAATAATTTATAAATTAATTTTTTTGTGCAAATTGTTTTCCAAGTATATTCTTTATTTTGATCCAGTTCGGCCGGGTGCCGTGACTCTGCTCCTGTTCTATGTTGCGACTAAAATGAAACTATGATTTGTTATGGGTAAAATGATGAATAGGTTTTCCGAAGCCATTGACGTCATGCGCTGGGTGTGGGGAACCGCCATACAACTACCGTCAACCATGTGGGGAGGGTGAGTTTAAGGTGTGCGAGGAAGGCTCAAAATACATAAGTTGGGATGGAGTTCATTACACTGATGCTGCAAACGCCATTGTTGCTTCTGCAATTTCATCCGGAAACTATTCCACTCCTACGCTCAAATTCGACTACTTCTGCTCTCCCTAGCTATATACTCCAAACTCCCAACTAGTTTAATTAATTATTTTCACCCACCCCACTAAAAATTTGTTGCAACTCTCAGACCACTCCCATCATTTTAATTAATTTAATAAAAACTGGGTTTTTAATTTGTGTAATCACTTCAATTCCTAATTGTTATTATATATACCGCCATTGAAAATTAATTTATAAACAAATCGCAGCATGTTTGAAATTCATTCATTCTTGTTTTCTTGTTCTAGATTAATTAATTTCAAGTGTTCAAGTGTTATTAATTTACTACGTATTTGATTTGATTTAAGAAATTAAATAAGGGATTTTTTTCAAGATTGGGGAGATCAGAGGAAACAACTTACCAATATTTATTAATGATACGAACAAAAGCAATTGGATAGTCTAAGCCTAAGATGAGACATAGAACTAAAACATCATAAGGAATATAAAAGTTGTTAATTTCGCAAAGATGCAGACTTTAGAAGGTGTTTGAAAAAACTTTGAAATACTACATAGTATTTTTCATTTTTAACTTAAAAGGTTGAAATAAGTATTTTCAAAAGATACTTTCTACTTAAATGGAACGTTTAAAAGCTAAAAACTAAAAGCATGTGGGAGAAGGCTTTAAACTTTATTTCCTTTTTCTATTTCACAAAAAAAAAAAATCTTTAGAACACAAATGAGTAAAATTTTCAAGTCTTCCCCAAAAAAGTTGAATAGATATCAACTTTATTTCCTTTTTCTATTTTCAAGTCTGGGGAAGGCTTTTACTATTTTTAAACACTCTTCTTCTCAAACACTGTTGATGTTACTATTAAGAACTCTAAAATCACTTTAAAAATTCCTAAAAAAATCACCTAAAAATCATTTTTTAAGTACAAGCAAACACACGCACTCTCATGTTTTATTAGCATGCTTATTCTTACTAGAAAACCAGTAATCAAGACTAGAAATAGTGTTAGAAATATATCTCAAAAGAAAATGGACATATACTTCGTATATATCAGTTTTGCCATCCTCCGATAAGGAAATAACAAAAATCCTAGTTCACAGCCCGGTGTACCCTTGGCCAGAGGCGGCTCCCTCTTACTACGAGGGGGGTGGGGTGGAGGTGGCAACTTGTTTGTCCTCCTCCTTTGCCTGCTTGACCTCTTGATCGCCTCTCAGCATGTTCGCCGAATCTTCAGGCTCAAGTTCCTTTTTTTGCGGACATGGGGTAGAAGCTCGGTAGAGAATCGACTTTATGTATTTTGCAATGCGTCAATCAAAAGTTTTTCATTCAGGCTCCCACAGTCGGCCAGCCAGCCAGAGTGTTGAGGTTAATTCCCTCTACCGGTTGGTGCAATACAGGGGTTTTTAGACTGGAAAGGTCTTTTACTGTACTCAACCTCTATATAAAAACTGGGTAAAAGTTTATTTTGCTTCAATACTGGATGTAATCATGTAATTAGTATTTTAGAAATCAACCATTGGTCAAAACAAATCAGTGATCCAAAAGAAGAAAACTGCAGCTCATAAGGACTGTAGTATATTAATGACATATATGCAATACACTTCTAAAATTCACATTTGACGAAATGAAATACATTTATTACTTATCATGATTCTATAATCTTTAATTTCAAACAAAATTATCAAAAGAATTTCTACATACATTATTTTTGCTCTTGTATAAAATTAAAATTCATACCTGACACCAGTAGCCACAAGGAGTAACTAGGACAAGAAGGTGAAAAAAAAATTACAGAACAGGTGATTAAAGAAGGGGCGAGCTGAGTTGTGGATTGTGAGCTATGATCATATTTGTCTCTCAAAGAGAGGGGCGAGCTGAGTTGTGGATTGTGAGCTATGATCATATTTGCCTCTCAAAGAGACCAGGAGAGGAGGATATTGGGAGGGGTTGCGGGGAAGAGTTTTTAGAGACAGCTGCAGTGATATTTAGGCATCACAACTTTCTTATCCAATCGGCTGAATTGAAAAGCTGGGTCACTAAGTGACCCAGCTTATTTTATACTGCAGCAGTGTTTTTAGAGACAGCTGCAGTGTTTTTAGAGACAGCTGCAGCCTTTTTTTTACTTCAATCATAGCTTATTTTATGACTATTGCCTGAATTTCGAAAATTCCAACCCATTATGAGCTGAAGGGAGCATGCCAAACATAGCCTAAATGCAAGCGATTCTTAATTGAATCCCATCATGTGTGCTCCAAAAGGAATCATCCATTAACCAATAAACCAGAAAGATATGACCTGCAATACCATTGACACAATTCTTGAATATGTTAGCTCATTATATAAATGTATGCGGGGTTAAATGAATCTTAAATTCATCTATTGAGGAACAGGACTGCGATCAAAACAATTCCAAATACACGTCACATATCCATTGCTAAGAAAATCCAGCAACTACTCCTTGACCTGTTTTTTTCATAAAAGTGAAAGCTGATAACTAAGAACCTCTAAGGAACATACTTATTCAGTGAAAATATAACAGGAATGTAACATCACCATGTAAAATTAATGGACAGTCCAGAACTTTTACCCTTAAGCAATATTGAAGACAAAAAAATCACTTTAGTACGAGCGTCTATGAAAGCAGCTTTATATATGTGAAAAGTATGACTATATTCACTGATAGTCTGATACCGATTACCGAATGCCATACATCATCATATAAAATTAATGGACAGTCCAGAACTTTTACCCTTAAGCAATATTGAAGACAAAAAAATCACTTCAGTACGAGTGTCTATGAAAGCAGCTTTCTATATGTATTATGTAAAAAGTATGATTATATTAACGAGTAAAGGGTCAGTTTGGTCCTCGAAGTTGCAAAAAAGGGGTCAACTAAGTCCTTATATAGAAGATTCTGTCCAGACGTGCCATTTGAGGTGGCTCCCGGTAGAATTTTTTGATGAAATTTTTTGAGCATCTTATTCATTAAGTCTAGTTTACTCATACCAAATTTCAGCTAAAAATTCAATTGGGGAGACATTCAAATGAATTCTTGAAAATAACTGCGCTTTTAACGGCACAGTTATCTTCAAGAATTCATTTGAATGTCTTCCCGATTGAATTTTAATCTGAAATTTGGTATGAGTAAACTAGACTTAATGAATAAGATGCTCAAAACATTTAATCAAAAAATTCCACCGGGAGCCACCTCAAATGGCACGTCCGGACAGAATTTTCTATATAAGGACTTATTTGACCACTTTTTTGCAACTTCGAGGACCAAACTGACCCTTATCCCTTATATTAACTGATACCGAATGCAGCTATACATGTAGCTATATTTATAGCTATATTAGCATATTAGGGTTCCTACATCTGGAGCCTGAGAAGTATAAGTGCATTGCCAATTTGCCATATGTAGTATACACAGTTCATCTTCACAATTGCATGAGATATACAACAACAACAACAACAACAAAAATATTACGCCAGTACCGCAAAGGCTCCCACCTACGGTGGGGTAAGGGAGGTCGGATGTATGCAGTCATAACAAAGACTGTTTCCGAATGACCCATGATGAAAATCTTGTCAAAATTGTATGAACTTACTGCTGCTTCACAAAGAAGCGCAGACAGTTTAGTGAGTCATTTTGTTTTATTCCATTATATTTCCAAGCCGAAAACTAGTGAGTCTTTGGCTCCATTGGAAATGATGGAACCAATTGCATGATATATCATTAAGTAAAAAAACAGCTGTAATATTATATGTTGAAACCTAAAGGTTATGGATGGAGAACTTACCATTACATTGAATGAAAATATGAAATCCACTCTCTAGGGTTAACTGATCACTTTCTGACTCTGAGATACAATGTTCTTGATGAAAACCTCCTCAATCACCACAGAATGGGAGTCACCAGAAAAATAATATTCATTCCTAGAGCATGATATTTTCCATATCAACAATATACACTTGTGTAAGGTCAACCAATTGACGAAATGCATAACTCACACATAGCAAATATTCCAGAAAGTGCAACTTGTTGACTGAGAAACATGTGTATGATCTATAGACCTTAGTGGTCCATTTTTCTAAATCATAGTAAGTGAGAAGTAAAGGTCTATTCTTGAGGTTCTATGATGTAGTAATCATTGACATCATTAAAACTTGAAACATATCAAGGTGTACCATTATTCTACTGACCAATTAGAACAGAGAGAAATTAGTCACAGAAATTGCCTCCATAAAATCAATTGCAAGTGTTTTGTTTGGTCATAGTAGATAAGCCCAATATGTTTTGTTTGGTCATAGTAGATAAGCCCTAGAGTAACTAGAGCAAAGAATAAAAGTAATCGTAGATAAACTAGCTAATAAAAGGATACCAAACAGTACGTCCACAATGGTTAAAAAGTACTCAATGTAAAACAAGATACATAAATGCTCAAGACCATATTGGGCAATGTCAAAGCTACAAATAATAACAGATGCCTTTTGCATGTTATGTTGCTTTTGCCATGCCTTTGGAATGTGACCAGGTTGACCTTTACTACGCAATGCTTCCAACACTTGTAATGTTGCTAAGATGGATGTGGCATATCAGCCGCCTCAACTTATGGAACTTTGAGCAGGCCTTTTTCTCAATCCTACTTCATTCATCATATGTCTCACATTCTCAGCATCTTTCCACCTTCCCAAAGCAGAATACATGTTTCCCAGCAACACATAATTTCCAGTGTTGTGTGGCTCTAACTCAAAAAGCCACTTCGCAGCCACCTCTCCGAGCTCAACATTTTCATGTATAACACAGGCACCAAGTAGTGCACCCCAAACAGCATGAGTCGGTCTGAAAGGCATGTTTTTTATCAAGTCATAAGCCTCCTCAAGCCGCCCGGCACGTCCAAAAAGATCAACCATACAAGTATAATGATACGGCCTAAGATCATCAGGGTGATATCTCTTCATGTAATTGAATAAACTCAATCCATCATCAACTAACCCTCCATGGCTACAAGCATGGAAAACAGAAGTGAAAGTGACTTCATTTGGTTCAACTTGAGACTTAACCATCTCATTAAACAGAGAAACTGCAACATCTCCATGTCCATGTGCTCCATATCCAGCTATTATCACACTCCATAACACAATATCTCTTTCCTTCATAGGTACCTCATTGAAGATATCATGACCGTAATCAAGCTTTCCACATTTTGAGTATATATCAACCAAACCAGTAGAAACCTCTTTTCTTGTAATAAAACCAGAGCGTAGAAGATAACTGTGTAAACTCATAGCCTGTTGCAAATCAGCTTCGATGGCATATGCGGGAAGTATGCTTTTCAGTGTTGCATTGTTAGGTTTCACATCTTCTGAAAGCATTTGTTTGAAAAGTAAAATTGCCTCTACTGAAAGGTCATTATGAAGACAAGCACAGAGAACTGCATTCCAAGGGACAGTTCTCTTCTTCGGAGTGTTAATGAATACATTAAAGCTAAGCTTAAAACTGTTGCATTTTGCATACATATCGATAAGTGCAGTTTCTACATTAGCATCTGAGTCAAGTGTTTGCCTGATTGCCCAGCCGTGTATGCATTTACCAAGTTTAGTGTCACACAAAGTTGCACACGCAGCAAGAAACGAGGCCAGAGTTATTGCGCTTGGCTTTATGCCCTCGAACTGCATTTCTAGGCACACCTGCAATGCTGAGCTTATCTCACTGTTCAAAATGTACCCATTTACCATAGTGGTCCAGGTAACTACATCTCTACCTAACATTTTATCAAAAACTAAACGTGCTTCTTCCATGCAACCGCATTTGACATACATATCGATAGTTGCATTTCTAACAGGTAATAGTTCCCAAAAACCTTTCTCTTCAGCCAATAAATGAACCTCTCTTCCCACCTTCACATCTTTCAGGTACCCACAAACAGGCAACAGGGAAAGCACAGTTGCACAATCTGGACCCACCCCAACTTCTGTCATTTTTCTGAAAACCTGCAAGGATTCCTTGGGACTGCCATTTCTGAAATACCCACCAATCATAATGTTCCAAGAAACCGTAGTTCGCTCCTGCATTGCATAAAAGACTCTGCTTGCCCCCTCTTTATCTCCACATTTCATATACATCACCAACAATGAATTCCCCAAGAATGCATTTAAGACAACCCCTGTCAATACTGTCAGACCATGAACAACGACCCCGATTTCACGCAATAATAAATCACCACAGGCACGAATTACAAAGGGAAATGTATACCTATCTGGCATTTGCTGACTGGAGTGGAGCATTTCATCGAATAACTTGAGAGCATCATGGGGAGCCCCGGTTTCTGTATACATTTTTATCATGCTCTTATAAGAAAGCAAAGTTCTAAAAGACAATTCATCGAACACCTTGCGAGCAAGTGATGTTTGGGAGCAGAGCGCATAGGAAGCTGTGAGGAGGGAAAGGAAATGAGTGGAGTCGTGATGGTGTAAGAGTTGAATCCTGAGAATGTGAGCATGCACTTGCTTAGTGGTGCTTAATGACTTGGTGGTAGAGCAACGGTATAAGAGTGATTCATAATGTGCAATGGTGCATGGGGCCGAGGGGGGAAGAAGGTGTATCAGAGTTCTGGACAGTGGCTGAGATGGCCCATTCATGAATCAAGCCCGTCCACCGTCCTGAAAGAGCTTACCACTCACCACAATCAGTATCCAGTCTTTTGCACTGTATGCTCCGATTTTCACTTCTTCAAATCGTTGCTCTCTTCTTTTGTTCTCTTGTTAGTGATTGGTGGTAGAGTTTTTGTGCGGCGTGTCTGTTTTGCCGAGTGTTTGTGCGCTTCCTGTGAGCGTTTGTTTGATTGTTAAATAATTTATTTTGGTTGAAGTTTTGTTTGCTACAAGTTTTTTACACCCTTGAAGAATATAGCAAAGTTATCATTGCAGGGGAGGAGGAGGAGGAGAAAAGGGGGTTTGGTTCGGGAAGCAGGTCCGGTGGGGGTGACGGGGGTGTGCTTCTGGGCGGTGGCACGAGTGTTAACTCACAAATCTATCGGGCCAATTTCTTTCATGGTATATAGGTTGACTAGATGAGTTCTTATAGACGAAATAGAAACCATAATTTGAGTTTGCCCTCGTGTTACGGTTCAATTAGACTTTGCACCTCATTTTTAAAAAACTTTATTTTTGTACTCCAACCACTTATAAAAAGACAAAAATGCCCTCAATCAGAAATATGCTGAAGGGAATGAAGGCAAGCAAAATTTGGGGTGCAAACTCAAATTTCCCCGATAGACAATTTCAAGTTTTTGCTCATGTTCTATTAGGAGGGAGACCTGAACCGTGTTATCTACGAGGTTTTGGTCTTTTGAATAAAATCCAACTTTGTTGGTTTTCTTTTTTAGTTGTTCCATTATTTTTTTGTCATTTTCTTTTTTAAATAAAGAAATTGTGGTTCTAATTATTTTTCTCTCTTCTACACAAATTTCTATCGCACAATTTTTACTTTAATAATCTTTGTGTCGGTCAAACTTGAAAAAGTTTTAAGGGACGATGGAGTAGTATTAAGAAGGTTAGGGGACACCGATAGACCACTTGAGGTGTCATTGGAGTATGCAAGTTCCCAATCTTCTTCTGAGGTACATGACGGTTAATGCTTTGACTAGGAGATTGATGGTGCATCAAAAAGATGACAATTGGATTTGCGCAGATTTGCGATATGAGAGGTTCCTAAATTTTTATTTCTTATGGGGGATTTGGGATACGAAAATCGTTTTTGCCCATCTAATACCCACACTAGACTCTGGATTGGAGAGAAGCCACACAACGCCTGGCTACGCACGGATATGAAAAGAAATGTGCATTCGAGAACTTGTGTCTCATCTTACCAGGTTGACTATTGTTTTACCATGGCCATTATGTTTAGGGTTTCTAGACCTACTTTTAGATCTACAAACAATGCCTCACGAGAATTCATGGACTGGTTCTTACTAACTCTAGCATGTTTAAGATCTAGCTTCTTACTCCTTAACTCATTAACAACAATATCCAAACAAATATCACTCATACCATACTTTATAGCAAATCTAACATCATTATAAGAATTATAAGAGTTAGGAATACCATTCAACAACACAATAGAGGTATAATCATCAATATGTGTATCACCAGCACCAGCCTGTTTAATGTTTTGAGTAAGCTTATGATCTGGATTAGAAAGCATTAAACATAATGTTTTGAATAAACTTATGTTTTGAATCGCATCAATGTTTTTGGTCAGATTGAGCCTGGATTGGAAAACAAATTCAAGTAAACATAATTTCCTACATAAAGAGGTGTCACTATAAATATTCTTCAGTTTATCCCACAAATCTTTTGCATAGTTTAAGATACTTGCATTTCTAAGCACAGAGCCAGAAAGGTTTAGGTATAAAGTAGAACATGTTCTATTGTTCATTTCAAATTGCTCAGTAGCATCCTCAGTTTCAAGAAACTTGCAAGTTACGGCTCTAAAAACCTTTCGTTGGATTAAACACATTTAACTTTATATTTCTAAATGTCAAAATCAGATTTACCATTAACAGGAAGCATACCATATTGGTATGCATACATGGTGACAGCCAATTGACGTACACAGGAAACACAAAAGAGCGAAAAATAAATGCATCAGCTCTAGCCTCAACTGCTCGAGATTACAAGGTTCTCAGTTAGACAAAAACGAACAGAAGTAGGCAGAGAACACAAACGAAGTAAGCTAAACTCATATACTCACAAAACCAACATGGAAAACACAAAGATCAACTCATGCAGATTCTCAAGAGATAATGAAATCAAGCCAACGTATTTGGGAGGAAGTCGGACTAGGCTAACAGCCAGACTCCACAGTCTAGCCACACAAACAAAACGAGGAGGGGTAAAGAGATGACAATAAAGAACACACAATCACACAAATCCGGAGGCACTCGGCAACCTAGGGTTTTTATCGTCGATTTACCTGATCGAGATCCAGGGGTATCTTAACTTACCTTCTGACATAGAACTGTAGCAACGCGGTGGCGGAGGAGTTCCAGGGAGAGGATGAGGTGTCGACACGAAGATTCATCTCTGATACCACTGTTGGATGTTCACTTCTCTAGCTCAGACCACACTCAACAATCACCCAAAACACCATTGAATCTCACAAGGGGATAAACACACTCAGTCCAACCCAACCATCTCAACACACACGTGTGTGAGAGGGTCTTAAAGTGGCAGTGATCAAGTATGTCACACACAAATATCTAGGCGTCTAAAGGCCGATTTTTTTTTAAACTCTCACATGAATAGTGAAACGATTTATTCATTTTTGGGCAATCATTTCTTTATCTAATCAGGGTGTGAATGAACATTCCGATTGTTACCGAGTCTAGAGATGAGAAAATTGTTAATTTTGAATTTGATATAAGGACTGTGATTAAATTTTATATCAATATAGACAATTTATTTTCAAAAAAAGTAACTCTTTATACGCCCTCCATATTCAAAAATTTATTACACTTTCTTATTTGAGATAGATTTAAAAGTTTGGTAAGTTTTTCCTTACTTCATATACATATACGTAGTACATGTTTCCCAAAAAAAGGAAAAAGGGCTGACTGATCATTTCAATAACTCCAGGAGACTATGATTCGGAGACAAAATTACAAACTACCGTTGTGAGTTTGTTAAATAGTTCCGATTTCCCGCCAATCGAAACAAACTTCAATCCACAGTCGCACCATGGCCTTCTCTGCAGCGCTCAGAGCTTTCTTGATTCTTATCTCTCTTCATCACTACAGACAATCGTCAGCTCAGGAGGATATCGCCATCAGCGACGGCCCAGCCCCTTCTCCTTCTTTCCCCTCCCCGCCTCTGGTCCCGGCTTTGTTCGTTATCGGCGACTCCTCCGTCGATTGCGGGACCAATAATTTCCTCGGCACGTTTGCTAGGGCGGACAGGCCTCCTTACGGCCGAGATTTCGACACCCATCAGCCCACTGGCCGTTTCAGCAACGGAAGAATCCCTGTGGATTATCTGGGTATGAATTTCTTGACGATTTCGTGAACTAATCTGAAATCTTTAAGGACTTTAGTTTCTCTTGATTTATATTCATCTTTTCGCACAATTTGGGTCCGGTTTCTTCTTTTTCGGATTTTAAAATCTGTGGGTTGCAGATTTTTACGAAAAGACTGGTTCTTGATTCTGATTTCGTTATATTTTTGTTTTTCAGCATTGCGTCTTGGGCTTCCTTTTGTTCCGAATTATCTTGGGCTGAGAGGCTCTGTTAAAGACATGATTCGGGGCGTGAATTATGCTTCTGCAGGAGCAGGGATCATCTTCTCCAGCGGTTCAGAACTGGTACATTTTTCACTTTTTTGTACTATCTTCTAAAAGAGACACCATTTCCAGAATTAGAGTTTTTATTCTTGTACTCCTAAACAAGGAATTTGGGTGAAAATTTACGCAGGGTCAGCATATCTCACTCACACAGCAGATTCAGCAGGTGACAGACACATTTCAGCAGTTTACACTAAGCATGGGTGAAGAAGTTGCATCTGATCTCATCTCAAAATCTGTCTTCTACATTTCTATGGGGACCAATGACTACATACATTACTATCTTCGTAACGTGTCGAATGTTCAAACGCTCTACCTTCCATGGAGATTCAACCAGTTCTTGGCACAGACTATGAAGCGGGAGATAAAGGTAAAACCCCAGTTTCTTTTATATTCTTAGGATGTTTTAACTTTTCTCTATGTGTGAGTGTCACATTCTTGTTATGTAAATGGGCAGAACCTGTACAATGATAATGTGAGGAAAGTGGTTGTGATGGGGTTGGCACCAATGGGTTGTGCACCTTATTATCTGTGGATGTACCCTGAAACAAATGGGGAGTGTGTTGACATGATAAATGACATGATTCTTGAATTCAACTTTGAAATGAGACAAATGGTTGAAGAACTTGCTCAGGAGCTTGTCGGTGTGAGGATCATCTTCTGTGATGCATTTCAAGCCTCAATGGACATTATGGAGAATCACGACCGTTATGGTCAGAAGCTAATCTCTTTTTTTCTTTTCTTCTTCTCTTTTTCATATGAATGTTTAATTGTTTTTTGTTTGCGTATTTGTTGTTTTAGGTTTCAATGTAACAGCAGAAGCATGCTGCGGTTTTGGGAGGTATAAAGGGTGGTTTCTATGTATAGCACCTGAAATGGCTTGCAGCAATGCAACTAATCATATTTGGTGGGACCAGTTTCATCCAACGGATGCGGTTAATGCGATCATTGCTGATAATGTGTGGTCGAGCTTGCATATCAACATGTGCTACCCGATGAACTTGAAGGAAATGATAAGTCACACCAGTTGATGAAGTGGTGTAGTTACTCAAATGATGTAGAACTAGTGGTGGTAATTATCATATAACCATAGTATTGATTTCCATTCCCTTGTCAATCTCAGTAAATTCTAAAACTAGGTGCTATTGAGTCATTCATACATATACATCTGATGAAATCCCTGCATAATAAATAAAGTCATATATAAGCATGTAACTAGTTCATGTTAGTCAAATTAGTAGAATGAATATTTCAAGAAGTGGTTTGAAGAAGTGCAGAGGATAGGATAGAAGAGTGACATCAAATAAGGAATTGTCATGTTCTTGAACAAAGATGGATTCCCAGACACAAATCCTTCCACTCTGGTGCATATATCTTTCCATCATCAACATCATTAACATCTTTAATCTGCATCCTCAAAAGTTTTTATGAGTCAAGCAATACTGAATGCCAAGAGGATTAAGTAAAGAAAATGACTATAACTATAAAACTAAGAGACCGTTTGGTGATTTTATTTTTCATGATATGTCACTCAAAGTTAAGATCACAAAGTTATAAGCTTGGGATTAATATCACTCACAAGAAATATGGGTTTGAATTCGTGGGCCTATATCCATTAAGCTTTATGAATGAGGCCTTTGTATGGGAAGATTGGGACTATTAGTTTCGGTTGGTTTCCGCAGTCTCAACTTGGCCGACCAGTTAGCGTGGTCAGGGCTGTTACTTTCTTACTTTGTGTGCAGGAGGGAACACAATGAACATCACAATTTCCATTCATTTTCATCGTAGATGGGTGCGTAACATTTGGTGAATTTTGTGGTGTGGGAATGTTGGTTGCCAGTATAAAGTAGGGGTGGGCAATTCGGTTTACGGTTCGGTTTTCTTCGGTTTCGGTTCGGTTTCGGTTTATTCGGGTTGAGAGAATTTGTACCAAACTAAAACCATTTGATTTTCGGTTTGGTTTCGGTTCGGTTTCGGTTCGGTTCGGTTTGAAGTTCGGTTTACCAAAGTAAAAAATATTATGTTGAATTTAGTTTGATTTGATTTGCTTGCTTATGATTATTATTTTATTTTATCAAGTTCTATATTTTAGAATATGAAATTGAAAGTAGTAGACCATCTCATCTTTTTTATTTTATTGATTATTTAAATAAAATGTAAAAGGAAATAAAAGATAGAAAAATAAATAATAAAATATTATAAATTAAAACTTCTAACATCTTTTTTATCACTACAAAAAATTCACTTAGCTTCTTACAAAAAATAAGATAGTTGATTAGCATTTATAATATCACATAAAATATTTAAAAAAAAAAAACTAAAAGAGTTGGTGGTACAAATGTTGCAATAGTCATAATTTTGTTCAAATGAATCATGTAAAAATATAAATGCAATTTGCTATTGTTATCGTTAAACATAATAAATACTCCCTCCGTTCTCTAATACGTGTTCCTCTTTCCATTTTTGGTTGTTTTCTAATATTTGTCCCTATTTCCATTTTTGGAAAGTTTTTTCAATAAATATACTCATTTACCCCCATTCTCTTTCCTACTTTTTCATTCTCTTTCCTACTTTTTCATTTAAACACAACACACTACCCCTTTTACACTACTCCTATTATTTTCCTCTTGAAACTTGTGTCAAACCCACGAAGGGAGTACAAATATGTAGTATTAGCTAACTTTGTAATAATGAATTAATGAAATGTGTAAAAGTTAAAATAATACGAGTATATGCTTAAATATTTATTTTCAAGTCTAAATTATTTATTTATATCTTAAAAATGAAGAGTGAAGATAAATACAAAGTGTGTGTGTGTGTATGTTGTTCGGTGTTCGGTTTACGGTTTTTCCGTTTTAAACCAAACCAAACCAAACCAAAGTTCCAAACCATTCGGTTTGAGCAAATGTTTACTAAATGTTTTACTTAAGTAAACCCAAACCAAACAAAATCAAACCACCAATTTTAATAATATATGAAAGTTTTTTGAGTTTCTTTAGTTCGGTTCGGTTTTGTTCGGTTTTTATCGGTTTCGGTTTGGTTCGGTTTAATACGGTTTGGAAGAAATAGTACCAAACTCAAACCAAATTGCATACGGTTCGGTTTCGGTTCGGTTTAGTTCGGTTTGGTACGGTTCGGTTAGGTTAAACCAAACCATTATGCCCACCCCTAGTATAAAGATTGGTTTTTTCGTGTAGAGGGGGCCTCTAACAAAACTTTTATTAGAGGGGGCCGAGCAGCCGGGTTGGCCCCCTAGCAATGAGGGATGCTTTGGCAGTTGCTATACCGTGGGTGCGGTGTAGTTTTAGCATCTTGCTCCCTAGGTTATATGCAATGTAAATCATGTGAATTCACATGTAACTTCAAGTTTGTCAAGATGTAAATTACACTCATTCAAATGTGACTCATTGAAATATAAACTGTTTTGATTCAAATGTAACTTGGGAACAAATCTGATGTAATTTGTGAATGTAACTTTAGCCTATTCAAATGTAACTTGGGAATAAGGAGATGTAACTTGTGAAATCAACATCCAGGAGAATGGGAAAATTTGCTTTCAATTTTAAAAGGGTTATGCATAAATCTTCTGGAACAATAGACTTTCATTCATTCATTAATAGAGAAAGAAGAAAGGAGGAGGAAGTGGAGGTGGAGGTGGAGAAGGAGAAAGCTTACATGTACTACCTTGGAGCTGTTGCGATAGAGCTCCTCTAGCTGCTGCGATCGATGAAAGCTCTCGTTTTTAGTCAATAAAACGACGCCGTTCGGGATCGGCACACCATGCGCACGGGGGGCTGATCTCACGGTATAAATTGTGATTCTTTGGGAGTAGTTGAGAGTGTTTTAGTACAAGGTGGTTATTCTTATTTTCAGCTGATTTTAGATGATATTCGTTCTATTTTTGAAAATCATACGGAGTATTTATTTTAAGATTTTATTCCGTAAGTGTTCAGCGAATCGTGTTGCTCACGCTTTAGCATGTGCAAACGTTTCTACTTCTGAGTGTCACTCAAAATTTGAGCAAGCTTAGAATTGAATTATGCACCCGTTTGGTAATGTCAAAATCGGCAGAATCGGTTGATTCTGCTAAAATTTATGAAGTTCTGGCTGAAGTGGCTGAATAAGGTGATTCTACTGATTTCTTAAAAAATTATATATAAAACATATTTTATTAATAAGATAAAGAAAAATTATATGTAAAAATCACAAAATTGGTCATCTACGGTAATTTCAGCCAATATAGCCAGAAAAGTAACTTCAACTTTACTTTTTCTTATTATTACGCAGTTCAGCGCGTGAAATCAAATATTACGTTTTTGGTGAAAAATTGACTCATAAGCCTGATAAGCCAAAAAACTGAGCTACCAAATAGGCTCTTAGGAATTACTGTGGGCTAGGGGACAGGTTGCCCTAGCTCCACCTATACCCCATAGGCTAGGAGTACAGATTAAACGGGGACATGGTGACGGAAATCTTGATTAACCATGTGTGCATTCTTTTAGGCTAACCGTAACTCACATCCGTCAAAAAATCAAATTTTCCACTAGTTTATATGTATTCATTCAGTCAATTCAGTTTTAACTGCAATCCAGCAACGTCAATATATTCACCCAGCAAAGGGTTTTTAATTAAAATCTTACTTTTAAAATTATACATCAATTTTTTTTCAATTCTTTAAAACATTTCGATGTAAAAAAAATATTTTTGGATTTTTTATTTATTCTTTTTATTTCAAACCCATTTTTGGGAAAAATAAGTGAAAGTTGAAAAAAAATTGCTCATCACATCTTAATTTTAGCACTTGAATCTATTTAATACAAATTTTGGGTCTGAAAACTTTTAAACAGTCAAAACTTAATATTTTTTAAAAAAAATATTTTTATGTTCTATATTGATGTCATATGAAAGGTAATTAAAAAATTACGAATTATGATATATTTCTTATAAAAAATGAAATAAAAATAAAAAAGGTATAGGGTCTGTTTGCAACAGCTTCTGCTTTTAAAAAAGTGCTTTTTTTAATGAAATGGGGAGAAGTGATTAAATAAAAGTTGATAGTGTTTGAGAAAAAAGTGATTTTGAAAAGTAAAAGTGGGTAGTGTTTGGTAAAATAAGTGCTTTTTGTGTAATAGAAAAAGTAAAAGCACTTTTGACGCGGAAGTCGAGAAAAATAAAAGTTGTAGTGTTTGGGAAAATAAGTGCTTTTTTAAAGTCAAAAGCTGAGAAGTGCTTTTTTAAAAGCAGTTGCAAACCAACCCGTCATTTAAATAAAAATGATATTTAACTCTATGCATGGACCCAACACTTTTATGTCATTCGCCCAACACGCTACTCCTAACTCTTCCGTCAATAAGCCAGCGAATTTCCACTGAAGGGGTGCCTCCAACCCACTTTGGCACTCCTAAATAACATGGGTTGGAGATGTTTTTGAGCCTTTGAGGTGAAAATTTTAAATATAGCATATAGACTCCAAGGTTGCAGGTAGCCTTAGCCCTGGCTAAGCTGCTGGCCCCGGGAATGTTGAAGAGCCTTCTTGCCAAGACACAAACACATGACTTTGCATCATTGCATGTACTTTAATAAATTTTCACCTGAGGGATACAAGAAATTAAACCATATTTAAGAAATACAGGGATGTAAACGTATAAAAATTTAAGTATATATTATCAAGAATCATTTTTAATACACACGTTCATAACTGCATATGCGTGTACACGCATTTTTCATCTACCTTTGCATATAAGTAAGAGAGAGTTCCTAAATAGGAGTAAAACGTTTTGAAATTCTAAAATACAGGACTATCATGTTTTTTATTCCTTGAATAGGAGTAAATTTCTGCCAAGTTTGGCATTACTAGGATTTAAACAGGACATTTTTTTCCAAACTTGGCAGATTACTCATATTCAAGGAATAAAAAACATGATACTCTTATTTTGAAATTTCAAAATCTTTTTACTCTTGTTTAGGGAAATTTCTGTATAACTAATGATAGAAGTAGTCTACATGTTCAAATATAGGAATTATTGGCATACAAGTGCTTTTTCTATTTGGAGTTTGGGTACTTGACACTTGGGTACTTGTTAGATTGACCGCCAGGGGCGGAGCCAAGTGTTAGCTTATGGTGTCAAATGACACCATTCAAAATATATATTTATTGTGTGTATATATATATATATATATATATATATATATATATATATATATATATATATATATATGGAGAGAGAGAGAGAGAGAGAAATGCTCAGGTCCATCCGGAGGGATGGGAGGCACTGTCCGAACTTTACTGTTTGGGTGGTTCCTAGTGGAATTTTTTGATGAAATTTTTTGAGCATGTTACTCATCAAGTCTAGTTTATCCATACC